TATCTAAACTCACTTAATCATTTCTTTTTGGGTATGACAGAGGTCTGTCTATAAAAAATGTGAAGCAGTCCCTGAGTAATCTCTTATATAAACTGATGATGGTTGCCAGCTTTATTTCAGATCCTCTTAACAGAAAGGGTTATTTTGTTTCTAAGCCTGTCAGCTAAGCCTGACGTCACCCAGATAGCTACTGAAATATATTACCCTATTAGTTTCACTTTGCATCTAACCTAATTAGAAGGAAACTGTAAGGCACAGAAGTTATAACACAAAATCCACTTACTGCCATAGATTCCATAGAATCGGTATAATTTGTTCATATCCTAACTGTTGTTATAAACAGACTGATGTGTCTTTCCAGTGAATTCACAAGGTAGGTCACCTAAATCTTTCCAGTGGTCTTCACGACACACTGCCTTACACTTATTCCTACCCAGATTTTATCCTCATTGACAGATAATAAGCATTTTCAAGGATGTATTTAGTGACTGTACTGCCACAAATACTGTAAATTCTGGGTCTAGCATACTGTAGACACTTAAGAAAAGTCTGAATTTTAACCACAAAATTCCACATCTAGGAATTTTTTGAAGGAACTAACTATATAAATATATAAGGTATATGTACAAAGATGTTCATCAGAGAACAATTTTTGATAACCAAATACTAAAAATGTAAATGTCTCACAGTAGGCAATATGTTAAACATATTATGATCTACAATATTGTGATATACTAGACCATTATTAGTAACAGTGATATTAATCCATATTAAATGATGGAAAGCAACATTAACTTAATGAAGAAGGCAGGTTTAAGAGGTATGCATAACTTAGGAGGTGATATCCAGTTGAAATTAAGAACACTCTGTTGTCACAGAGAAATTAAGGCTCTGTTGTCACGTTCAGAAAGAGAAAAGAGCTTTAAGCTGTGAGAGTTTCTAAGTCTCAGTGCCTCTGTTTCTACATCATCAAAGAAGAGACAAGAATATCATGTACTGTAAATGTATGTGGCTGTTCTGAAGACTCAGCAAGATAATCCATATAAACACTAACAAGTGTATTATGCTGTCTAATGTAAATTATCATTACTGAAGATTAAAATCATTACATGTCCCTCAATCCATTATTTTACAATGAGGTTAATTCTGCTGTTTCCTGTTTTTCTTACAGTAAAATTTATGCTTTTGAGGCTTTATCTTTTTTACAATTCCAATTTAGAGAAATTTCAGTGTCAATATTGGATATAATACAAGTCTTCTTAATAAAATCACTGAAAGAGAGAGAGAGGGAGAGAATCAGACAAAAAAGGAGAAAATGTCTCTTCCTCAGTACCCGGCAACTACAGAGAACAAGAAAAACACCATTCAGCATCATAAACTTGTAAAAGGAACAGGATCTGATAAAATAGAGAATCTTAAGAAAGGAATTTTATTCTTCTGCACAGTATGGGGATGTATGTGAATATAATATTACAATCTCTGGAATTATTACCTGTATTTGCAAGATACCTGGAAATCAGATATTGGTATCATTCTCTCTGAAAGTAACCTTAAATCTCTAAATTATTAATTCTGAAAGGATGTCTGATAGTAACTGAGTTTTAAGTAACATTTCTAATATCTAAAAAGTATAAATAGGATGTTTTTCAAACAAGATCTCTGGCACTTCCTTCTCCCTACATGAAGAGGTATAAGGAAACCTATGATTTGGTTAGATTTGTATTTTCAAATTAAGAGGAAGACTTTTTG